ATTTATGCATCTATGAGATGAAGTCTTGCCAGGCAGGAAGAATGTGAAAAGGGGTCAGAATAGAAAAGCCAACACGTGTGTTTAATTCAGTCTAATCAAGCAGTAAGGCCAGAATAAGGGCAGATGTAGGGGATTAGGTTCGTATAACTTGGATTCAGAGGTCGTGGGTAAAGGAGCCATCCCAACTGGAGGGCACGGACTATCAAAAAGGGCACACGTGCATCCATCAGCAGCACAGGGGATGGATCAAGTTCTGTGGGTTGGTGTATAAAGTCCTATATTTGTGATATTTAAAAACATTTGGCCATTGAGTTCCTCATGAATATGAGCAGGTAATTGACTTCAGTTCGATTTTGAAGTAGAAAATGTATGAGAATTTGACAATATTTAAGAGAATGTAATAGTCACTCTAATAACTCAGAAACAGAAAGTTAAACACCACGTTCTCACTTAGGGGCCAAACAACATGTCCGCACGGACCTACAGAATGGAGCAGTAGACATCGGAGACTCCAAAAGGTGGGAAGACAGGAGGGGAGTGAGGAATGAAAATTACTTCTTGGGTACAAGGTACAATATTTCAGTGCTGGGCACGCTACAAGCCAGACCTCACCACTGCGTAATATATCCACCTAAGAAAACTCCTCTTCTACCCCCTGTATCTGTAAACAATTGATAAAATAACTGAATACTCACCTTGCTTATGCCAGTTTTTTAGTTCTGAAAGCATGTTTTGAAATTCTTGGGAACATGTTGTTTCCTACTCTATAAAATGTGGAATTCATTATATTTGTAAATGTGGTTTAGAGTGTCAAAGGCAGTGCTATCCGATATAAATATAATGCAAGTTACGTATGTAATTTTGAATATTCCAGGCCCCCCCCCCTACTTTTTACTGGGACAGGGTCTCCTCTATCACCAGACTGGAGTGCAGTGGCACAGTAACGGCTCATTGCAGCCTCAGACTCTTGGGCTGAAGCCAACCTCCCACCTCAGCCTCCCGCGCAGCTGGGACTACAGGCTCACACCACCACTCCAGGCTAGTTCTTGAATTTTTTTTGGCTGGATGGGGTTTCGCCATGTTGTCCAGGTTGGTCTTGAACTCCTGGGTTCAAGTGATTCTCCTGCCTTGAGCTCCCAAAGTGCTGGGGTTACAGACGTAAATGACCACACCAGACCAAGAACCTCATTTTTAAAAAGTAAAAAGGAATGTATGAACTTAATTGTGATAATAAAATTCATTGAGCCCATCATATCAAAATTATCATTTCGACATAAATCACGTAAAATTTATTGAGATATTTTACATTCTTTCTTTAAACTCATTTTCAAAATCTGTTGTGTATTTTACACTTTACATATTTCAATTCAGACTATCACATTTTAAATGCGTGATTGTAGTGACTACCTACTGAACAGCACAGGACCGAAAGAGTCTGATTAGCTACATTTGTGAGAGCGTTTATTATTTAAGGAAGCTCCCTCTGTTCAACTTCATTTGCTCAAATATTAATCAAAGCCCCTTCAAAAATCATTGATCAAAATTACAGGACTTATAAATAAAATATGATTAATATGTTGAACTCACAAATCAAGGAAAAGACGAATTGAAAATTGTTACTTAAAGAATTACTATGTTTTTTAAAGTAACCACAAACAGCCCTCTCATACACAAAAGCAGCCGGGTTGGAATTAGAGCCACGGAGCCCAGCACTGCCCTGGCAGGAGAGGCCTGTTACAGCCACGGGGCTCAGCACTGCCCTGGCGGGAAAGGCCTGTTACAGCCACGGGGCCCAGCACTGCCCTGGCAGGAGAGGCCTGTTACAGCCACGGGGCTCAGCACTGCCCTGGCGGGAAAGGCCTGTTACAGCCACGGGGCTCAGCACTGCCCTGGCGGGAAAGGCCTGGGTCTTTGTTACTGCATCATAGTGTCAGACCTGGACAAAATCTTTCTTTTCATTTTTTTTTTTTTTTTTTTTTGAGATGGAGTCTCACTCTGTCATCCAGGCTGGAGTGCAGTGGCGCAGTCTCGGCTCACTGCAACCTCTGCCTCCTGGGTTCAACCGATTCTGCCACCTCAGCCTCCTGAGTAGTCGGGACTACAGGGGTGTACCAACACACCCGGCTAATTTTTGTTTGTTTGTTTGTTTGTTTAGTAGAGACGGGGTTTCATTATGTTGGCCAGGCTGATCTGGAACTACTGACCTCATGATCCACCAGCCTCGGCCTCCCAAAGTGCTGGGATTACAGGCGTGAGCCACTGCGCCCAGCCTGGACAAAACCTTTCTTATAGATTGTCTGAACAAAGCACCCGCAATCCACTGACGAGAAAACAGGACTAGAGAAGAAAAGAAGCACAGCCACACGATGAATAGAGGCAGGACCAGGGCAGAACCTGGGGTCTCATGATGCCATCCCACCCTCCCCGTCAAGGGCTTTCAACCCATTCTCTCTGTTCATTTATCCTCAGTTGGCTGATTAGGAAATTGAGGCAGAGAACTGGAGGCTTGAATCTCTAAGCAACAGAAACCAACAACACAAACCAAGTCCAGGCCCAGAACCCAGGCAGTCCAGGCAGAGGAGACAGACCACGTGCTGGGGTTAGAAAGGAAAGGAGAGGGGAGGTTTGTCCAAGCACCTCAAGGCTTCGGCCAGGTCTGCCAGGGCAGAGGAGGGCAGGATTCCACCTGCCTGTGGTCCCAGGGCAGAGCCAGGCAGCCTCACCCCAGCATAGTTCTTGGGGTGAAGGCCTGGAACTTCCACACGCACTTCATTCTCCCGGTTCCCTTTCCTCCCTCTTTGCTGTCATTTTTCTTTCCCCTTCCTTTTCTCCCTGGAGGCCCTAGTCTCTTTTCCCCAGTATGGTTGGCCCAACACAAACTCCCCGCAAGTAGATGTGGGTCAACCTTGCCCTCCGAGGGTCAGGTTCTGTAGCGTTTGGGCCTGCTGAGCCGGACACAGAGGGAGAAAAGCTCAGCCAGACCAGGGGTGTAGCAGTTCTGTGTCCCTTGCATCAGCCCTGGAGAGGGGCAGGGGGCGGCTTGAAGGTGCAGTCTTCCTTTTGCCTGGAGAGGCCATATTTTTCATAGGACACACACCCCTGGCAACCCTCGGGAGAGTTTAAGGAAGCTGGGTTTAATGCTCTGAGATGGCAGAGTGAGAAAATTATTCCCTGCCCACGGCGTGTTCAGTCCTTCTGCAAAGTCAAGAAGAAAATGGCTACTGGAGCCAGAGGTCATCTCCTCTACCCTCCCTCATCTCCCCTTTCACAGGATGAGCTCTGGGTCTTCACCATCTTTTCACTTTTTGCTAAAGCATAATACAAACTGGGGTTCGCCACCATTTACTTCTATGCTTCCCTTTATCTTTTACTTATGGCAAATGACACTGATTTTCCACTTACAAAAATGATGTCAAGTTTCCTTTCAAAACGGAGCTTGCATTGATAACAAGTGAGTCACGTAAATATCAACACAGTTTCAAAAACATAAAGTGGAAGACAGTACTGAGAAGGAGCAGGTCCGGCAGGAGCTGCCAGGGTGGGGCAGACTGAAGCGAGGGAGCTTGGAGGCTCCAGGGCTACTTTTTTCAACCTCCCTGAGCTCTGCCCAGGCCCCTGGGTTCCCGCCTTTCCTGTGGGCATCATGCAAAGCCAGTTCTCCCAGTTGGCTGCTGGGCCAGCTGCCATGACTTGGACGCCGAGGGCACCCGGTGCCTAGCTCAGCCCCTGGCCCTCATTCCCGCTGGGAAGCTGAGAAGGAGCTGGTCTGAAGATCTTTTGGATCTCACTTGCTCCTGAGCCTGTGGCTGGGCTTTATGGGGAAGAGGAAAGGGGGCCGCTCTTGGACAGTCCAGCTCAGGGGCAAAAGGCAGCCGAACTCCCAGAGCAGCTGCTCTGGAAACTCCTGGTAGAGTTAGTGGGGCAAAGCTACATGCACAGGGCTGAAGGCACACAAACGCCTGCTCCCAGAGCCGAATGGCTTTCCCCGAAGCAGTATGAGGCCACGGGCTCGGAACACACAACTGCGGATCAAGGCAGAGAGGAGAGCACCCCCTGCCCAGAGTCTCCCGACATGTACCCATCCTCCAAGCCAGCTTGACGGCCCCTCCCAACTGGGTCTTCCTGGGTCTCCCCCACCACAAAATGAAAGCACTTGGCTCCCCGACTGCAGAGTGGGCCCAGACGCCCCTGGCCCAGAATTCTGTTTCCATACCAGTCTCCCCAACCCCCCAAATGTGAGAGCTCAATGGGGTCAGGCTCTCTTGCATCTCCAGATCCCTGCCCAGGTCCTGCCAGCTTGGACCTTGCACTCAACCGGGGCCAGCAAGTATCTGGGGAGCACAGCCCAATGCCCCAAACCTTCTGGCCATCTAATTCCCTGGCCCAGGTGGCCAGGGTGCCTTGTCATTTGTGGGGACAGCTCAAGACGTGGGGGTGGCCTTCCTGCTCGCCTATGCCCTAGACTACCCTATCTGGTTGTGCCGAAGCCATTAGTGCCTGGCTGTCCACAACTCCCCTTGGCTTCCCTGAGTCCTGTTTCGGGCAGTGCTCTCCTGTGATTGGCAAAAGCCTGCTGAACCTGAAGCCTCAGCTTTGGCATTGAAAGTACCACCATCGATGGTCCTGCCTCTCTGGAAGGTGAAGGGTTCCTTCCTAAGAGTTGGCAAGAAATAGGACATGGGGGAGTTCCTGAGCTTAAGGGTGGGACGGGCACGTCCCTCCTCACACCCTGGGGACCCGCTGGTAAGGCACAAAGCTTGCTTCCCGCATTCTCATTCCAGGAGGCTCCTCAGGAAGGGAGGCTTGTCCAGGCACAGCCCTGGGCCCTCGTGGGCTCCTGTGTCTTCTCCAAGCCCCAGAAACTGGAGCTCCCTGGTACCTGAGTATAGTCTTGGCTAAAAGATCCCAGAAAGGTGACCACAAGGAAACATCCAGAAACGGGACTGAGAGGGCCCAGCTCCTCCAGCACGAGTGGCAGGAGACGAGGGAAGGGGGACTACCTGAGAGGGCGGCCATCAGCAATCCACCGATCCCGATGAAGAACCACATGTCTGGAGCTGTCTCTGGTGGCTACTCGTGGCTGCCCGTGGAAAGCACCATCATGGGCCCGGGAGGCGGACACGGTCTCTGTGCGCCCCTGGCATGGGTCTACTCTGCCCGTTGCTGTTCCTGTTCCTGTGTCTCTCTCCTCTCTCCTCTCCGACACGCATGCGACCAAACCCAGCCTGTGAGTGTCTCTCACGCCTCCCTGTTCTGCTTGTGGTTTTGGTCTGCAGGAAGCTGGGCTGCTGTTACAGGGGCTGGTGGGGAGAGCCCCAGCTGCCTGTGCTGGGAGCCCACCCATCCAGGCTGCACCCCGAGAGTCACAGAGCCAGACACACACAGGCACATGCCTCCACGCAAACACACTTCCCTGAGGGTCTTCTAAGAAGGGAAGGGGACGGGCCATGCCTCATTTCTGGTGGCCCAAAAGGAAGAATTGATAACGTACTAGCTGATCAATCAATACATATTGGAAGAGGGAGTGAATGACCCCTGGCCTGTCCCAGTCCAAGGAATTTGGCTCTCATGGCTGAAATCCTGAGTTTTACCTTAACCTTAGGCACAGTGGTGGCGGGGAAGGAGGGTGTAGTTCTGATGCCCTTAGTCTCTCCTCTGAGAAACATAATTGGGAAGGGCCTGAGAGATGACCATCCCACAAGTCCTTCTACAGAGAAGGGAGCCAAGGCCCTGTGGGAGCCACCCCTGAGATGACACAGTGGGGCCAGTGATCCCATCTCCAGGTACCAGACTGGGCATACCTCTGCGGGAGTCAGGCGTGGGAGCTGGGCCTACAAGGCTGAGCAGGATTTTGACAAGCAGCAGTGATGGGAGGCCTCTGGGCCAGGAGGAACAGCAGGAGCGAAGGGCTGAAGGAAGCCCAGGGCTGCCTGAGAAACCCCGAGTTGTCCCATTGCACTGCAGCAGACTGATGTGATGGGAAGAAGGCAGGGACCAAGTATGCTTAATTCACCACGGTACTCCCTGTGGAGCATTTGGTAGATGCTGAATAATGTTCTTGAATGAACATAGGAATAGATAATTTGGTTGTCCAAGCAGGACTCTGGGAAGTGGTCAAGTCCAGAAGGGGTTTGGTTCCAAATCCTGGTCCTGCCCCAGTTGGCCCCATAGCAGGTCCAGCTCCCCTGGCCTTCCACTTCCTGCATCCTTGCTTGTCTTCATTTCCCCCACATGTGGAATAGGGAGGAGTCTTCCTCCATTGGGCTTGGTCTTAAAGGTGGGTGTAGGCATTTGATTCAGCAGGTATTGGAGCCACACGGAGCCAGCCAACCCCCCCCCCCACCCCCCGCCCATCAGATTGAGACCCCGCCCAGTCCTGCCCCAGCGCTGGCATCTGCTGCCGCTGCCCTCTGGTGGAAGTCGCTGGCAGCACAGGTTTGCATGGGTGCCTCAAGTTCCCATATGCAATTTCATTCATTTACAGAGACTTGGTGTTGGAACTCTGGACTAGACTCTGTGGAAGGGAAAAAGAGGAAACCATATTCCTGCCCTCAAGGAGCATGGATTTCACATACACAAGTGACTAAGCCACAGGCCAGGGTAGGACACACATCATGTGAAGTCTCCTGGTCCTAAGAGAAACCCGTTTGAAATGGGCCAGGAAGGATGGCTAGACTACATTTCTGACAATATGGAAGACAGCATATGATGAAAAACTCTCCTAATACAAAACACCAACAAAATATTGTAAACTGTCTTTTTAAATGTGTACCTGAGGTGGCAAGAAATGAAGAAAATTATCCGAGGTCAAAAATGACAAACCTGGGCAACATGGTGAAACCCTATCTCTACAAAAGGTGCAAAAATTAGCCAGGCGTGGTGGTGCACACCTGTGGTCTCAGCTGCTTGGGAGGCTGAGGTGGGAGGATCGCTTGAACCCAGGAGGTCGAGGCTGCAGTGAGTCAAGATTGTGCAGCCTGAGTGACAGAGTGAGACCCTGTATATATTAATATATAAAGATAACACAACAAAAATCCAAAGAGATCACAGCCAGCGGAGAATTATCTGTTGATCCAGTTGACCAAGAACTTCAGTCTTACGAAGATGGACAAAAGTTAAAGCTGAAAAACAAAAGCAAATGAAAAACAAAATCTGAAATCTCTACCTTAAACAAGGAGCACTGAAATATAACAGGCACAGTGGAGAACTTGGAGAGAAAAATTCCTTAAAGGGAGCTGACACGGAGCTTGCCCAAATCAGCCTGGACTCTGAGTGGGAGAAAAATAACTGTCAACCCTGAATGCCCCTCTCCACACGTCTATTCACTAACAGCCCTGGAGGTGGAACTCATGGTACCTGTGTGGCAAAAACAACCACACAAAAAACAAACAAACAGACAAAACGTAATATAAGAATTTAAAGGAAGGTAAACAATAGCTCCCTAAGCACGTGGCAGAAAATCCTCTCTGGAGGAGCTCGCCCTACCTTCATGACTCAGAGAAATCCCCCAGAAAAAGTTCCACAGAACATGAGTTCACAGGGCTGTAAGACAGAAAAAAAATCTTAAAACACGGGACATGAGGTGCTTTAGGTGAGAGTGGCACAGCAATAAACGAAAAATGCAGAGCTTCGAACACAGCTTAGATGCTGGATTATGGGATACAGAATGTAAAATCAGGATGTTTCATATGCTTAAAGAATTAGAAGCTGTTAACTGAAAATATTGATAAGGAACAAGAGACTATTACAAGTGACCAGGAAGATTTAGGAAAAAGAAGCAAGCAATTACGTAAAAATGTAATTTTTGAAAATAGAAACCCAATGTACAGATTAAACAGTAGATTAAGGTCCAGCACTTTGGGAGGCAGAGGCGGGCTGATGGCTTGAGGCTAGGAGTTCAAGACCAACCTGGCCAACGCAGTGAAACGCCATCTCTACTAAAAATACAAAACGTAGCCAGCCATGGTGGCGCATGCCTGTAATCTCAGCTACTTGGGAGGCTGAGGCATGAGAATTGCTTGAATCCAGGAGATGGAGGTCACAGTGAGCTGAGATTGCACCACTGCGCTCCAGTCTGGCTGAGAGTGAGAATCCGTCTCAAAAAATAAATAAATACATAAAAATAAACAGCAGATTAATATGGCTGAAGAGACAGCTAGTAAGCTGAACAATAGATCTGAAGAATTTACCCAGAATGGAGCACAGGAGGACAAAGTGATGGAAAATCTGAACGAGGTTAAGAGACATAGACAAGGAACAAGGATTTAAATATGTCTAATAAGAGTTCTAGAAGGAAATGAAAACTTTGTAGAATTGATGAAAGACACAATCCTCAGATTCTGGAAGCTTCCCCAACCCAAGCATGATAAATAAAAACGAATCTACGTCATACTGTCCGGTAGCAAAACTGCTGATCACTAGACATAAGATGGAGTGATGAAGTAAATGACCAGCTAATGTCTCGATCGATACCAACTATTAGAGCCAGAGGACAAGGAGCAACATTTCGAAGCACTGATAAAAAACAGCTGTCAATCTTGACTATCTTTCAAGTATAAGGTTTAAAAGACACGTTTTCAGATGAAAATTGAGAGCATTTATAACTAATAGACTGTCACCTAAGGGAATTCTAAAGGATGTTCTTCGGCTGGGCGCGGTGGCTGAAGCCTGTAATCCCAGCACTTTGGGAGGCCGAGGCGGGTGGATCACGAGGTCAAGAGATCAAGACCATCCTGGTCAACATGGTGAAACCCCATCTCTACTAAAAATACAAAAAATTAGCTGGGCGTGGTGGCACGTGCCTGTAATCCCAGCTACTCAGGAGGCTGAGGCAGGAGAATTGCCTGAACCCAGGAGGCGGAGGTTGCGGTGAGCCGAGATGGCGCCATTGCACTCCAGCCTGGGTAACAAGAGCGAAACTCCGTTTTTTGTTTTTTGTTTTTTTAAAAAGGATGTTCTTCAAGAGCAAAAAAAGTAATCTCAGAAAAAAGGCTAAGATTCAAGAATGGTGAGCAAAGAAATATGTCAACACAGAAGTGGATTGAATAAGCATTGACAGCATAAAACAATGACAAGGAGACCGATCCAAGATGGCCGATCACTAACAGCTCGGGATTGTAGCTCCCAGTGAAAGCTCAGAGAACGAGACGACGCCACACTTTTAGATGAATTTCCGTCACTCACGGATCAGCTGATTCCCAGTGGAGGAGCCCCACGGGTCGCCAGCGCGACTCCGCCTCAGCGGTTTTGCCGGCGCCTTGGTGCAGCAGCTCTTCATGCAGAGCCAACGGGACCGCTTCCCCTTCTGACCGGAGTTTGGAGCTCAGGGAAGTCAGAGCCGCTTGTTGCGGACTCAAGAGGGAAGCCAGACCAGAGATTTCCGGGCACAAGAGCACCATCAGTCTTATCGCTGCTATTTAGGCTGCCACAGTGGGTTGCTCGGATCCCAGCACTGGGAATCAATAAACCGGACGTCGACTCAGAAACCTAATCAGAAAGGTGGTTCATCTACAATGAAGGGAAAAAAACAGCCTAAGAAGACCAAGTATACTCAAAATCAGAACCCATCAGCAACGGAACAAGCCCTGATGGAAAAGGACTCATCAGCAGCAGATCAAGTCCTGATGGAAAAAGACTGTGTTCCACTATCTGAAGTAGGCTTTAAAAGGTGGATGATGAGAAACTTCTGGGAGTTAAAGGAACTCGTTCTAACCCAATGTAAAGAAACTAAGAACTTTGAAAAAAGGTTCAATGAAATGTTGAAAAGAATAGACAATATAGAGAGGAATACAAATGAACTTATGGAGTTGAAAAATACAACACGAGAACTTAGTGAAATATGTACAAGCTTAAACAGCCGAATGGATCAAGCAGAAGAAAGGATATCAGAGGTCGAAGACCAACTTAATGAAATAAAACAAGACAAGAATAGAGAAAAAAAGGATAAAAAGGAATGAGCAAAGTCTCCAAGAAATATGGGACTATGTGAAAAGACCTAATATACGTTTGATCGGTGTACCTGAATGTGACGGAGAGAATGAATTCAAGCTGGAAAATACTTTTCAGGACATTATCCAGGAAAATTTTCCCAACTTAGCAAAGCAGGACACTATTCAACCCCAGGCAATACAGAGAACACCACAAAGATATTCCTCAAGAAGACCAACCCCAAGGCACATAATCGTTAGATTCACCAGGATCGAAAGGAAGGAGAAAATATTAAGGGCAGCCAGAGAGAAAGATCAAGTTACCCATAAAGGTAAGCCTATTAGGCTTACAGCAGATCTCTCAGCGGAAACCCTACCAGCTAGAAGAGAGTGGGGGCCAATATTCAATATACTTAAAGAACAGAACTTTCAGCCCAGAATTTCATATCCTGCCAAGTTAAGCTTTACAATTGAAAGAAAAATAAAATCTTTCAGGAACAAGCAAATACTTAGAGATTTTACTACCACCAGGCCTGCTTTACAAGAACTTCTAAAAGAAGTATTATACATAGAAAGGAACAACCAGTATGAGCCTTTCTAAAAATATACCAAAAAGTAAGGAGCATCAACATAAAGAAGAATTTACATCAACGAAAGGATAAAATAGCCAGTTAATATCAAATGGCAGTAACCCTAAATTTAAATCGACTAAATCCCCCAATCAAAAGATACAGACAAAATCTAACGGTATATCTAAAGATATACAAAGACTCAAAATAAAGGGTTGGAAAAAAACTTACCAACCAAATGGAGAGCAAAAACAAATAAATAAAAAGCAGGAGTTGCAATTCTCACAATTAATAAAATAGATTTCAAAGCTACAAGGAAACAAGGGTAAAAGGATTAATGTAATAATAAGAGATCTTAACACCCAGATACATAAGACCCATAATGAGATTTAGATTCAACGAGACAGAAAATTGATAACAATATCCAGGACTTGAACTCAGAACCAGAACAAATAAACTCAATAGAGCTCTCCATTTTAAACACACAAAATATACATTATCCACTTTAAACACACAAAATATTGATCGGCCATTATTGATACCCATTTTAGGAATGAAGTAATATTTCTTTTTCCCTCTTTTTTCTCTTTTTCCCTCTTTTTCTTTCTCTTTCTCCCTTAAATAAAAGAAAAAAAATTTAAACGCTCTCTATGCCAATTAAAAAAAAAAAAAAAGATCTTGATGCCAACAAAGAGAGCTGTGCAGATTTCCTGAACTAAGCCAAAGGGACCTCCTTTGTGGAGATGGACACCCTCATGTCCATCACTGAGAAAAAAATATTTCAAACAGGTTAGGGTTTTTTGTTAGCTATAACTAGACTGCTGTTCCTCTTTAGCTTAAACTGTACAGATGATGTACAAAAAACTTCATCTTTTGCCTTTTTTTTTTTTTTTGAGATGGAGTTTCACTCTTGCTACCCAGGCGGGGGTGCAATGGTGCAATCTCAGCTCACTGCTCACTGCAACCTCCGCCTCCTGGGTTCAGGCAATTCTCCTGCCTCAGCCTCCTGAGTAGCTGGGATTACCATGCCCAGCTAATTTTTTAATATTTTTTAGTAGAGACGGGGTTTCCCCATGTTGACCAGGATGGTCTCAATCTCTTGACCTCGTGATCCACCCGCCTCGGCCTCCCAAAGTGCTGGGATTATAAGTGTGAGCCACCGCGCCCGGCCCTATCTTTTGCCTTATGAATCGCCCTCTCCTTGACGCAACTAAAAACTTGGAGGAAGCTCGTCCAAGAAGATTGAGAACCCTGTGTAGAATTCTCTTGTGAAAATCCTCTGTTATGTTTCTTCCTTTACATTAGTTCCTATCTTTTCCTCAGCTGAGAAAACATTCCTCCAGCTTTCAAAGACTGGCGCCTTCAGCTCTACCTTGATGCCCATCCTTTTCAACTTATCAAAACACTACTCCCACAGTTATCTCTTCCGTCACTGGAATCTGCAGCCTGGAATCCTTCAGCTGTCTCCACAGGCTCACATTCCCACTATGTTCTTAACTATAGTTTTCAACTCCCTGTAATTCTCAGTAATTAGAAAGGTTTTTTTTACTATCCTTAGATAAATCTCTTGGTAGCTTCCCCCCTTAGTGGTTCTGTTTTTTCTCTCTGGATCAACACATCATAACTACATGTCCCTGCTACATATTTTCATACAAGTCAATGGTAGTACCAGTTTAGAGTAGATATATTATCTTTCTTGATCTGCATACTCTATTAAGGCTGCTTGCCCTAGTCCATGTTCCTTCCCAACTCTGCCAGATTAATCTTTTCAAACGAGATATTCCCTTAAGGAAGTCTGTATCTTGTTAGCACTAGCCCCTTGTCACAAGTATCGTCTTGACTCTTCCAGGGCCACTCGGATCCCTGTGTCCCGACCAGGGCTTTACTCTTCTACTTTACACTGCAGGGACTTGCTGACTTGATGACCTGCTCTACGTCTTGGTTTCCTATTAACTCTAAGCTGCCCCAGTTACTCATTTTCATCCAGGCTTTCTACTATTGGCTCCTCCTAATTTCAGTTCAGCTTCGAACCTAGCTCTAAGTCCTTAACTAGAATTCTAGCATCTCTGGCAAAAAAAAAAAAAAAAAAAAAAAAAAACAATGACAAAAATGACCAATTTGTGGGGTTAGGAAAAAATGAGATAGGCTGGGCACGGTGTCTCACGCCTGTAATCGTAACATTTTGGGAGGTTGAGGTGGGTGGATCACTTGAGGTCAGGAGTTTGAGACCAGCCTGGCCAACAGGGCTAAACCACCTCTCTACTAAAAATACAAAAATCAGCCAGGCGTGGTAGCTCGTGCCTGTAATTCCATCTACTCAGGAAGCTGAGGCAGGAGAATCGCTTGAATCTGAGAGGCAGAGGTTGTAGTGAGCCAAGACTGCACGAGTGCACTCCAGCCTGGGCAACAAAGCCAGACTCAGTCTCAAAAGAAAAAAAAAAAAAAAAGAAAAAAGAAAAAGAAAAAAATGAGATAAAGGAGTGACAGAGTGGGAAAGGTCTATTATTTGGTGGGAGGGCAAAATATTGACTAGCGTTTGACCTTGTTCAGTTAATCATGCATGTTAAACTAGTTGAACAATAAAATGGAAGCTGCTGGGGAGAGAAGCCTGCCGTGAAGCCAAAGAAGGCAGGAAAGGAAAAGGAAGAAATGAAATAGGGAGGAGCAGGCAAACTGAAGGATTGGTAGGTTTCAGCAGGTAGCTCCGGTGTTGGGTGGCGGGAGGGAAAGACACAGGATAAGTAGAGGCAAGACAGCACTATGTGAGTCTTGTTCCGGCTAGATTGACATGATACAACCCAAGCAGCCCATGTTTCACAGACATGAAGCTTCAAAACTGAAGCTGAAAGGTGTACCCAGCTGGGTGTCCAAATCAGCGAGCTCATTTTTATTTAGAGCTCTTGGAGCAGGACCTTCTGAACTCGGTTTGCAAGGGGCACCCAGTGGCTCTGCATCCTGTAGAGAGCTCAGGAGTTTTTCCTCCAGACTGTATCTCCCTCCTGACCTTGACCCAGCAAAATGGAATAAACATTATTGAGGGAAGCCTGACTCTCCCACCAGAAGGAAGGAGGACCTAGAAACGAAAGGCCGCCGTCCCCACCATGTGGCGCAGGGGAGTTTAATGCTGGCAGGTACTTAGTGAGCACTTCCTGTTGTGCCAAATACTTTACATGGAATCTTAACCCTCAATTCTGACTGCAACTCGACCAAATAGATTGTGTCCTTAGCACAGCCTTGCAGATAAGGACACTGAAGTTAGAGAGGTAGTTTGCTCAAGATCCCACAACTGGCCAGGTGGGGTGGCTCATGCCTATATAATCCCAGCACTTCGGGAGGCCAAGGGGCAGATCATGAGGTCAGGAGTTCGAGACCAGCCTGGCCAACATAGTGAAACCCTGTCTCTACTAAAAAATACAAAAGAATTAGGCAGGCATGGTGGTGGGCAAATGTAATTTCAGCTACTCGGGAGGCTGAAGCAGGAGAATTGCTTGAACCTGGGAGGCAGAGGTTGCAGTGAGCTGAGACTGCACCATTGCACTCCAGCCTGGGCAACAAGAGTGAAATTCCATCTCAAAAGAAAAGATCCCACAACTAAGAACTAGTAGGGCTAGGCTTTGAACTCAGGTCTGTTTGGATGAAGACCCTGGGCTTTTAACCACAGGGAATTCAGCCTTTATGGGGAGGGCTGGGGGGATTGTGGTACAAGCATAAGGGCTTTGGCTGAAACATGACACCATGGGTAGGAAAAGGTTTGGTTCTATCAGACTCTAAATGTTGGACCAGCCCTGCTCCTGGGCCAAGCGCCGCCCACTCCTTAGTCTCTTGAATCCTGAAATTCCTCTATCCTGACCACAGTCCCCAAATCAGCCACAGCCAAACCTTGTCTTTCCCGAGGCCCAGAATTTTCTACCATGTTCTAAATATTTAACATCTAATTGTACACATATTAGCTCTAATCACATAGTCATTCATTCAACACAACTTTATCACGTGTTCTAGGTGCTGGGGACACTACACGGGCCAAAACAGAGAAATACCCCTGTTTTTACAGAGCTTACATTTTAGCGGGAGAGAAACATATAAATAATAGACATAATAAATAGATTATATGAAAAAAAAGAGGCAGAGCCCTGTAAGAGAGGCTGGGAGTGCCGAACAGGGGTTACGATTGTACATACATGGTGTCTTAGCTTAGCCTTTTTCCCCCAAACAGAGCCTGGAACAAGGAAGGGCTTGTTTGCGACAGGTGATTTGGGAATGTGATCCAAGGGAATGGGTTGAGGAACAAAGAGAAGGGAAATAGGAAAAGGAGGAAAGTCAATAAAAGGATGCATGGTTGAGTTGGCCACACTACGGACAACTGTACTCAATCTCAGACTTCCGAAATGGTTCTCACGACTGTCTGCCTTGTGTGTGGTCTCCCTTCCTACCACCCATTGCACCAGCACTGATGTGGCCATGGAGAAAAGCTGCCTAATGTCCTTTTTTTTTGAGACAGAGTCTTGCTCTGTTGCCCAGGCTGGAGTGCAGCAACACGATCTCGGCTCATCGCAACCTCCGTCTCCTGGGTTCAAGGAGTTCTCCTGCCTCAGCCTCCCAAGTAGCTGGGACTATAGGTGCGTGCCACCACACCTGGCTAATTTTTTTTTTTGCATTTTTAGTAGAGACAGGGTTTCATCCTGTTAGCCAGGATGGTCTTGATCTCCTGACTTCATGATCCGCCCACCTCAGCCTCCCAAAGTGCTGGGATTACACAAGCCCAGCCTAATGTCCTCTTGATAGCTGCAGGCCTCCCTGTGGTAGAGCTTCTCTGCTGGGCATTAACACACATCGTAGGGCCGGGGGCGGTGGCTCAGACCTATAATCCCAGCACTTTGGGAGGCCGAAGCGAGTGGATCACGAGGTCAAGAGATCGAGACCATCCTGGTCAACATGGTGAAACCTCGTCTCTACTGAAAATACAAAAAAAAATTAGCTGGGCATGGTGGCGCATGCCTGTAGTCCCAGCTACTTGGGAGGCCGAGGCAGGAGAACTCCTTGAACCCAGGAGACGAAGGTTGCGGTGAGCTGAGATCACGTCATTGCGCTCCAGCCTGGGTAACAACATCGAAACTCCGTGTCAAAAAAAAAAAAAAAAAAAGACACACACATTGTATCCATCCACATGTCCCCAGATATCCTTGTCTCTGGTTTTCCAGTCTTCTTCCTTCCAGCCCCCTGCCCAGGAGCCCATGTATACCCATACATCAACCCGCTTGTCCTTCCATATACAGTGTATGGCCAAAGGTACTACCCCATCTCTGCCCACTGCCAGTATTTCCCTTTACCATTGTCCTTCAGACCCACCTCTGAGTGAGGCCATAGTGCAGCTTCTGTCCATTTCTGGTTAGTAACAGCCTCTTGTGCTGCCGCATTTGTGAACCAGGTGTGAAGTTTCCCTCTTCTAGCCAAAGGAGCTCTCTCAAGGCCATATATGTGAGTCAAAAGAGAAATATGGATGCAAAGAGGCAGGTGCCATCTGTCCATGTAACTTGCCTATGCCTTCTGGTTCTGTTTGTGTTTGAAGTAATTGGACAGCTGCTGCCCTTCTCCTCAGCTCTTATAACCTGTTGCGTATGGCAATACCCAGCTTGTGATGGGGTCTTGTGGTCCCCTCGTTGTTGGTGACCCATCATCAGGCACAAGTCTCAGGGCCCAGCAGCACCCCAGGATGTGGCTTTAAAATGACAAACATTTCTCTGCTGCAGGAGCCATGGCTTTGGTTTGGCACCCTAGAGGTTTGTGCTGCAAAATCCTCTTTTTTGAAGCCTTCCAGAGACTCCATATGGCACCCTTATCCATGTGGGTATCTCAGATATGACCAGACACGATTGTACTAGGGTGGCACAACAGCTTGCACCACTGCCTGGACCGGCCACGGAGCTTTCTCTTGTGCTGGGTCCTACTCACTGGCAGCCCCCCAAGTCACATGATAAATGGTCCGACAGAATTCCCCAGGACACTTTAAAACCTAGAAGGACCTACCCTGTGCTGTGCCTTGTTCTTCATGGTACAAAAGCTTGTTTTTACCCTACAGATAATGTCTCAACATGCCCCAGACCTTGGGACGCTTCAAATCTTTCCCAATATGGCAGCCACCAAGATCCTATGGACCTTATTTCTCACCTTTTAGCATACAGAGGACAACAGTTCTCACTTTTTTTATTTATCAGAAGACCCCTTTATAGTCTTAAAAGTTATAGAGGACCCCAAAGAACTTTTGTTCATGTGGGTCTTATGTACTGATATTTATCCTATTAAAAATTAAAACTGGCTAGGCGAGGTGGCTTACACCTGTAATCCCAGCACTTTGGGAGGCCAAGGTGAGCAGATCACAAGGTCAGGAGATCGAGACCACTCTGGCTAACATGATAAAACCCCGTCTCTACTAAGAATACAAAAAAAAATATTAGCCAGGCATGGTGGCACTCACCTGTAGTCCCAGCTATTTGGGAGGTTGAGGCAGGAGAATCCCTTGAACCCGGGAGGTGGAGGTTGCAGTGAGCCGAGATTGTGCCACTGCACTGGGCAACAGAATAAGACTCTGTCTCAAAAAAAAAAAAATTAAAACTGAGAACCCCAGAAGATGGAGAGTACAACGATGGGTACCAGAAGTTGGGAAGAGTAGTGGGGGCGGGGGAGTGGGGATGGTTAATGGGTACAAAAATAGAATGACTAAGAATATTATTCATTATATTATGAATAATAGAATGAATAAGAATATTATTCATTTATTCATTAATATTCATCTTAATAATATTCATGGCCGGGCGCAGTGGCTCACGCCTATAATCCCAGCACTTTGGGAGGCCGAGGCGGGTGGATCACGAGGTCGAGATTGAGACCATCCTGGTCAACAAGGTGAAACCCCGTCTCTACTAAAAATACAAAAATTAGCTGGGCACGGTGGTGTGTGCCTGTAGTCCCAGCTACTCGGGAGGCTGAGGCAGGAGAATTGCCTGAACCCAGGAGGTGGAGGTTGCGGTGAGCTGAGATTGCGCCATTGCACTCCAGCCTCGGTAACAAGAGTGAAACTCCATCTCAAATAAATAAATAAATAATAACAATAATATTCATTAAGAATATTATTCATTCTATTCATTCAAATAGAATGAATAAGAATATTATTATATATAGAATAAATAAGAACTAATATTTGATAGCACAACACTGTAACTACAGTCTACAATAATTTATTGTACATTTAAAAATAACTAAAAGCATGTAATTGAATTGTCTGTAACCCAAAGAAAAGATACATGCTTGAGGTGATGGACACCCCATTTACCCCCATGTGATTATTACACATTGTATACCTGTATCAAAATATCTCAGGTAAGCCAGGCGCGGTGGCTCACGTCTGTAATCCCAGCACTTTGGGAGGCCGAGACAGGTGGATTGCCTGAGCTCAGGGATTTGAGACAAGCCTGACCAACATGGCGAAACCCTACCTCTACTAAAAATACAAAAAAATTACCCAGGCGTGGTGGTGTGCTCCTGTAATTCCAGCTACTTAAGAAGCTGACGCAGAAGAATCACTTGAACCTAGGAGGAGGAGGTTGCAGTGAGCCGAGATAGTACCACTGTACTCCAGCCTGGGTGACAGTGAGACTGTCTCAAAAAAAAAAAAAAGTACTCCAGAAATATATATATATATATATATATATATATATACCTACTATGTACCCACAAAAATTAAAAATAAGAGTTTAAATAAAAAACTGAGATGTTTTAAATATTTACTTAATAAATTTTAAAATACCAACCACAAACTCATTACATGTCAATATAAATAACATTTTCTGTGAAAAATTACTATATATCCCAAACCCCACAAAATTATCAGGGGCCGGGCATAGTGGCTCACACCTGTATTCCCAGCAGGTTGGGAGATCAAGGTGAGCCTATCGTCTGAGGTCAGGAGTTCAAGACCAGCCTGGCTAACACAGTGAAACCCTGTCTCTACTAAAAATACAAAAACTAGCCAGGTGTGGTGGCAGGCGCTTGTAATCCCAGCTACTCAGGAAGCTGAGGCAGGAGAACTGCTTGAACCCAGGCGGCAGAGGGTGCAGTGAGCCGAGATGGCACCAGGGCACTCCAGCCTGGGTGACAGAGTGATACTCCATCTCAAAAAAAAAAAAAGATTATTTCGATATTATTTTATACTTTTGAAAATGTCTTGAACATCCAGCTTTGTAGAAGCCACGTGGATTCTCATATCTGCTTCATTTAAGTTGTGGAGATATGTTTTTTGGTTGAAGCATAGGGGAAAAAATCTGGCATCACAATACGGAGTAGATAAAAGGAGGAGTATTTTAACAGGCTTTTAAAAGTAATTGCAGCTATTCTTCTCTAATACCGTGACAAAAGTTGGCAAGTGATAGTTTCTAAAGGTTAGTTCCGATATGAAATGTGAAATCATATCAATGACCCTTTATATATTTTTAAAGTCCATTGTTCTAGCTTGCACTTTGAATGGATCCCGTCTCCAGGCATGATTTTGTGAACACACGGCTCTGTCACTGTTGAACATACTGGTTCACAGATGCGGAAGCTACTCGGATCTTCAAATGCTGACATATTTCGTTACACAACATCCAAAAATCACATTCGTTGATATCATCTCTGATCCCATCAGAAAACCTTAAGTATCAGGAAGATGTCAAGATCATGACACGGGTTTTCTAACATTTGAATTTTTACTTAGCTCTAATTTCCTCATTGGCAACAAACACTGTCGTATTCTTTCAAGTGACAGGCTCGTTTTGTTCATTTTCAAAGAACTGTCTGCCAAATTTTGAAGTCTGCATAACCATAGCTTCAAGTAAAAATGGTGTTCCATGGGGGAAAAATCTAGTTCAGCTGGCAAATCCAAAAATAGCACAAGTGTTTTTCCCAGAGCGACCTCCATACCGCAGTATTCGGCAGGAGTGCTCCGTGCTTACTTTTCATTTGTCACATAGAATAAAGATTGTGCTTTAAGAATATTAATAATTTGGCCGGGCGCGGTGGCTCACGCTTGTAATCCAAGCACATTCGGAGGCCAAGGCAGGCAGATCACTTGAGGCCCGGAGTCCGAGACCAGCCTGGTCAACATGGTGAAACCCTGTCTCTACTAAACAAACAAACAAAATTAGCTGGGCGTGGTGGGGAGCGTTTGTAATCTCAATTACCCAGGAGGATGAGGCAGGAGAATCACTTGAACCCAGAAGGCGGTGGTTGCAGTAAGTGGAGCTGGCGCCATCGCACTCCAGCCTGGGTGACAAGAGCAACACTCCGTCTCAAAAAAAAAGAGTATTAATAATTTAACTGCTTCAGTTAGGACATTCTTAAGTAAAAGAATGTATCTTCTGAATGCATGAGGGTGAAAAATCCAACAGCTACTACTGCAGCTTGATGCCACTGCTTTTTTTTTTTTTTTTTTTTTTTGAGGCTAGGTCTCACTCCGTAGCCCAGTCTGGAGTGCAGTGGCATGATCTTGGCTCACTGAAACTTCCCCCTCCCAGGTTTAAATGATTATCCTGCCTCAGCCTCCCGAGAAGCTGGGACTACAGGCATGTGCCACCATGCCTGGATAATTTTTGTATTTGTAGTAGAGACAGGGTTTAGCGATGTTGGCCAGACTGATCTTGAACTTCTGGCTTCAAGTGATTTGCCTGTCACAGCTTCCCACACTGCTGGAATTACAGGTGTGAGCCACCGCGCCTGGCCTGGTGCCACAGCTTTGATTCATGTGAAGGCACAAGCAGTTTTACTCAACATTGCTTTTGCTCCAGGCAAATTATGTCAGTGAAAAAGGCAAATTGTATCTTTACGTTGATATGCAAATAATTTTGACCTTGTGGACCATTGAAAGGGTCTCAGGGATCCTTAGGGGGCCATGAACCTCCCTTTAAGAAGGGAGAGAAGAAACATGGTGCTCAGAGCTGAAACCTAGCATCTTGAATATCTGAGCTAGTTCTTCTCCTAAGCATTGCCTGAGACATGTAAGCCATCTTCAAGGGGCAAGCCCAGCTGTCCATTCTCCCTTATAGGATTCTAAGGTGCCTGATCAGTTTCCACTGAAGTGTGGTGTTCACTGATCTGAACACTGCATGAAGGAACTAATCAGCCTGGGGTCTAGCAGAGTGATGTCGCCTGATCCCAAATTTAACCTTTATACAAAAATCAAAGTCTCAGAACCACATTAGAAGAGCTCTGGAAAATAAGAAAAAGGAAAAAGTCACCTGTCGTCACATCACCTTGACAACCACTGCCATGCTGTAGCCTAGGGTGGCCCAAACGTCAACTCATCCTGAAGTTACTGTTGTTGAAAAAATTCCCAAGGCTATTTTTTTTTTTTTTTTGGTCTTGATGCTGCTAAGTCACATCATTCTGGCCTTTTCCAGTTAGGTCTCAGGTTCCCAAGAGGGGGACCTGATATTCATATCTGTTCACTCCATTCATACAGAGCTGCCCTGTCAGTGGTCCAGAATCCATTGGCCAAATGGTCTAACCCTTCCAGCTTCGTGTGATCTGCTCACAGAAGGCAACCATGTCAATGGCTCTTTCCTAAATTCCAATACCCCAAATAAAGTCCTCCATAGTAGCTTCAGAAGCAAACGTTTTTCTTTTTCTCTTTTTTCTTTTCTTCCTTTCTTTTTTTTGTTTGAGATGGAATTTCTCTCTTGTTGCCCAGGTCGGAGTGCAGTGGCACGATCTTGGCACACTATAACCTCCGCCTCCTGTGTTCAAGCAATTCTCCTGCCCCTGCCTCCTGAGTAGCTGGGATAACAGGCGTCTGCCCCCAAGCCCAGGTAATTTTTGTGTGTGTATTTTTAGTAGAGACGGGGCTGGACAGGCTGGTCTCGAACTCCTGACCTCAGGTGATCTGCCTGCCTAGGCCTCCCAAAGTGCTTGGATTACAGGCATGATACACTGCACCCGTCCTCAAATGTTATTCTCCTATCTCTCAGTACCATTTTCCTCCAAGATTATCCATAGAAACTGGAATCCTTCCTCCCTAAGGCAGGCCGTAGAAACCTAATTATATTTCTCTACTCTAAGTTTCCCTCCACCTTTCTGTATAAAAACTGGCCGTAAAGAAATTATCTTTGTTTGGCTTTGACTGTATATAGGTTGTAAGACTCCCATTCCAAAGAGAGCCCCATCCTGTACCCAGAAGGAAGGAATGCAGCAGAGAGAGGCCAAGAAGAATCTAGACAGATAGGCCTTGCTGGATTTCTCACTCAGTCTGTTAGCATTAGACCATATCCTTTTTGTTCAATTCTTTTTTTTTTTTTTTTGAGACAGAGTCCTCCTCTTGTCACCCAGGCAGGTGCAATGGCTTGATCTCGGCTCACTGCAACCTCCACCTCCCGGGCTTAAGCAATTCTCATGCCTCAACCTCCTGAGTAGCTGGAACTACAGGTGCATACCACCACATCTCGATAATTTTAGAAAATATTTTTAGTAGAAACAGGGTTTCGCCATGTTGGCCAGGCTGGTCTCCCAACTCTTGACCTCAGGTGATTCACCCGCCTTGGCCTCCCAAAGTGCTGGGAT